GTGAACAGTTCGGATTTTACAACCATGAACTGTGCACTTTCCTGTGTGTGCGGCAGTGTTGTGTGACGTAATCCATGGAAAAAACGTATTGGAATGAGCAAACAGCTTCCCGGTTTAAAAGTAGCTGCAGTGCAAGTTGAGCGATAAGAATAGGACTCTAATCTCATCAATCATATGGAGCGTGGCCCCGCCCATCGTACAGGTAGGTGAAGGAAGTGATTCACGGTGTTCTGTCACCGTACAGTACAGAGTACCGGAGAATTGATGCAGGACTGGTTTTACGAAGAAATGATTACCTTGTGACATTTCAACAATATAAAGGTTCTTTATCGACCGAAGAATTGTAGCACAAAAAAGATACACGAATTTTGCATTCAAGACTCGAAGTCCAAAGTAATTCGGTAGTCAATAAAAAATTGTAACAGAGCAGTAGGATTCTCATGGTTGTGTGATTTAATCCCTGTATTTGGTGTTCAACACCAAGGTAAAAGGTCATGATCGGTCCTGGGATAAACCCGGGAGCTGTTCGTGTAATGTTTCAGACATTTTTCACCTCTTCTCCAACAAAAGCAAAGCTAAAGTCTAATCAGAATCACACCGACTTTCGGGATACAGTGAGATCTGTTACGTTTGCTCGTCTTCCATGAGAGGATGCAAAACATTGGCCACTGGTCGACAATTTCAGTTCAGTTCATTGCGAACAACCGTGATCCATGCACTTTTGTGTGCGGGTTTTGGTTGCTGTTTTTTGGCCGCCCATTCGGATGAACATTAGGAGAAAAACAGATAAGTCAAAAGCGGAATGGAAGAGAAAATTCGAAATTTCATTGGATTAATGTCGCAAAGAAATTGAGAAGATGCACAAAACGCCACTGGTTACGACATGCAGCCATATCACCATATCAACCAGGGAGCCTCAGTGGACTTGTGTGAAGGAGACTTATGGTTAGGATATTCATACTTTCGTACAATTTCTTGGCTTTTTTCCACCCATTACCTGCCCCGGCGAACATCACTCGCCGTGGCAAACTATTTGGTGACATGCCCCAACCAGCGTCATCTACGGAAGTCGACTAATTGCTCCAATGGGCGACCACGATTACTCAAAACTCTGCGCCTAACCTCAGCACTGCTCAACCGGTTTCCCGACCAGATTCGTGCAATGCTACGTAGACAGCGGTGTTTGAACACCGACAGTCTATTTTTATCCTGTTTTCTTAATAGCCGAGTCTCTGCACCGTAAAGCAGAACTGGCTGAACTGCTGCAGCATATACTCGACCCTTCACAGACAGCCAGATGTCGCGACGGTGCCACAGATGTCTCAAGTTGGCAAATGCCAAAGATAATGTAAAGCGGCGCATCGACACGGCCCGAACGGCGTTTCTGCAGCTCGGAACCACCCTATGGCGCCGAAAGGAGACCAGCCTCAAAACCAAGCTCAGGGTGTTTGCTACTATACGGCTGCGTAACCTGGCCACTGAGAGTTGAGGACATCCGACGATTGGAGGTCTTCGATCACTGATGTCTTCGATTCATCCTGAAAATAAATTATTGGAACAGGGTGTTAAACTCCAATCTCTGAAATCGATTCAACGTAGTCCGTCTCTCCACGCCGCCGACTGTAATGGCTGGACCATGTTCTCCGCAGACCTGACGACACTTTAACGAGTATTGTCTTGGCTCTGACACCATGTCCTGGCTGGCGCCACCGATAAGGGAGATGGGGGCAAGTAAAAACGTGGCTGGACACTGTATTGGAAGACGTCGACCAACTCAGGCTTCCGATGATGTACGACACTCACCGATGGCAAACAAACTGGATCAACATTTGCAAGGATCTTGCAGCCAACCACCAAGCATGAATAGCGGTCATCAGAGACATTCATGGAGCCGGCTTATCCTTTCTAAGGAACCAGCGGTAGTAAAGTAAAAGTAAAGTAACCCATCATACCACATCAAGGTGCTGCAGTCTCGTCGTGTTGGGAACGCAAGTTGCTGATTAGTCTTGAACACCTTCAGTGAATGGCATCAAAGCGAATATGAAGGTGTTCAAGACTAATCAGCAACTTGCG